TATTCTGAGACCCACTCAAAACTAGCAGCTTTCCAAGTCCCCCAGTAAACAGACTGGACAAAATACCTAGGTGAGGAATGTGTTGCCTCCAAATCCACATAGGCCAACTAGGGCATTGTGCTTGTTTTTAAGTATAGGGAAAGCCGAGTGCAACATCTTATCATTTACCTTAAGCACTATTGAATTCCTAGAAATTTCACTGAGGTAGAGGGACCTTGAATTGTAGCTAGATTTATTTCTCATCCCCTGGCACACAAATGCTTTACTAACAAGTCCAGAGTGATTGCTCTCTCCTGTTCACTTAGTCCAAAGAGCATAATATCGTCAATGTAATGCATCAGTGTGATACCTTATGGAAGAGAAACATAATCAAGATACTTGCAAACTAAGTTGTGACACAGGGCTAGAGAGTTAATATAACCCTGAGGTAGGACAGTCAATGAGTATTGCAAGCCTTGCCAGCTGATAGCAAACTGTTGCTGGTGAGTGTCAGGGATACGTATGGAGAAGAAGGCATTTTACAAATCTATTGCTGCATACCAGGTACCAGGAGATGTGTTGATCTGCTCAAGCAAGGACACCACATCTGTACAGCAGCTGCAATTGGAGTCAGCCCTTGACTCAGTTTATGATAATCTGCCATGATTCTCCATCTGTCTTCTGCCCAGGCCAAATGGGAGAATTAAATGGAACTGTGGTGGCAACCACCACCTCTGCCTCCTTTAAGTTCTTAACAGTGGTGCTAATTTATTCAATTCCTCCAGGGATGCAATTTCCTTTTGGGTTTACTATTTTTAATGGCTTTAGTGGTTCCTAGAGTTGGCTCTTATTTCACCAGCTTCCTGGTGTTGGCTCTCTAATTTCTCTAATTTCCTGGAGTTGACTTTCTAATTGACCTCCTTAACAGTTCTGGTTCTCCAGAGCCTCACCTGGCACCAAAATCTACATCAGTTAGAGCTCACTAGAAGAACACATGTGATAGATATGTCCTTATATAGGATTTACAAGGTAGCCTTGTAATGGCCATCCACAGAGTCCAGTGTGGAAGAGTGCGAAAGGGCAGATTGCATGCTGGGAAGTCAGAGAATTCAGTCAGAGGTCAAAGGCTTGGAGCTCACTGCAGAGTTCTGTGTGAGTCCGCAGCAGGAAGCTGATGAGTCTATGCTAGGAGGCTGAGGAGTCTGCACTAGAAGCCTGGAGACAGATGTCCAAAGGTGCTGGAGGAGACTAGAGTTCTTCTAAAGAAGCAGAAGTGAGACTTCCTTGTTCTTTCCCTTTTTATTCCATCCAGGCTACAAGTCTATTGGTTGATGGGTGGTTGATGCCACCCACACCAATGTGGATCTTCCCTCTTTGGGAAGTCAATCATCCAGTCACGCCCAGACCTCACTAAACCAATCAGCTAGGGGTTTCTTATTCAAGATGACACCACAGTTAACTATTTAACCCACAAACACCAAATTGATTGGCTTTGGGATCTCCCCAGGAGATTGGTGGAGCACATTCTAGATGTGTCCGGATGGATCGTGAAGGCGTGACCTGGGTCTCTGGCCCCTTCCCTTGGTTCCCTTATTCTGCCACCCAGCAATCCTGAACTAAGCCACTTTGCTCCACCTGCTTTCCAGCATGATGCTCCTGCCTTGGAATCTGCTAACCATGGAAGGAATTCCCAAAACATGAGCTAAGTTAAACTTCAGCTCCTTTAAGTTGTAGGTTTTGGGTATAGTGACCCACAGACAGGAAGACTAATGTACCATTCACGCATGCAGAGGATGTGTCATTCACGCCCAAAGCACATAAATTTTTATGACTGTGGCCAGCTGGGAGTGATAGTTTTGCCATAGTCAGAAAGTGAACCCCCGATAAGGTCTCCTACACCGGGGTGTGGCAGACAGGGCCAGCACTGGTGACGTACTCGGTACTATAATGAAATAGGTGTGTGCTCCGGGCCCCAGCCTAGATGGCTGCTAGTGGCTATTCACCTGTCCAGATGTGGAAAGGGACAAGTTATTTACTCCATACTTGATCTGTTTCCTGTGACTGTGTAGGCCCTTGCTAGATTAGTTGGGGTTTCTCATGTCTCCCAGATCAACCAGGTCATTTGCACTTGTCTCAGAGCTCTGGCTTCCATAGGAACCCAGGGGACACTGTTCTGCTTGCAAAGGTTACCTGTAGAGACCATGGAAGATGGTTAAAGGGCAGAGAAGGCCTATTGTACAGACATAGCAATCACAGAGGAGATGGGTGGCAGGAAGGGCACTTCTCGCAGTAAAGGTAGTGTCAGGGTTACCTATCCAGACAGGCTGTGTATCGAGAGGTCCATCAGAAGGGACCACTTGTGTTGCCCATCAATAAGAACCAAAAGTCATGTCTACCCTGTTAGTCGTCCTTCAAATGGGGGCAATGTCAACATATCAGCCAATAGTTAGGGTAGTTACAGTCAATGGAGACTCAAAAAGTGAGGTGATTAGCTACAGAGGCCCTGGAGTCCTGACTCAGCAAGTGTCCCCCACCCCAGGCGCTACACAGAATGAAAAAGCAGTGCCTGACACCTGTCCACTGAGCTGTCTGTATCCAGGCCACCTCCACATGGTAAGGGTAGAGGAGAAGCAATCCACATTGAGGGGGCCCCTGGATGTATAGAGTCCACTGTCAGACTGTCATAGCAGGAAATTTTAGCCTGTGATAGAGAGCAGTAAGAGTTTGGAACCATCTCCTTAATGGAAGAGAACAGCCATCCGAAGGTCAAAACCATGTCTGAGGTGGTCAGAACCCCATGTAACCAGGGCCAATCGTGCACTGGCAATAATTCATAATTGTGAACCTGGTGACAGGTTATTGTGCCCAGCTCACTTGAGCCACAGGTCAACATTGCTGGAGAATAATCTACCTGGCCTCCAGCATCTTCCATACCAGTCAAACTGAGCTTCACTGGGTCACCTGAGACTTCCATGAAGGCTACTACTGTGGCAAGTCCAGCCACGGATCTGCTGCTCTAAGGCCAACATGCTGCCCATGGTATCTTGATGCTTTTTTTTTGGTACCAGGGATCGAACTTGCAACCTTGTACTTGCCAGGGATGCTTTTTTTCATTCCATATGTTCTCTGCAATGTGCAGTGGCTTATTGTGCCTCCTGTGTCACATACAGATCGAGTAAGTGTGTGGTTGTATTGCCGTAGTTGTTCCATAGACAGGGTTACTATATGGATATTACCTTCATGGTCCAGTGCTGGGATTGACAGTTCAGCAGGACCATTAGCCATGGCCCATGAAGCTGTGCAAAAGAGAATATTTACAAGGGCATGAGCAGGGTACAGGGAACACACAGGGACAGTGCGGTATCCTTGCACAGGTAACTGCAGGGATGCTACCACCCCTGGGCCCAAAGACAACCTACAAGGAGAGTCATGTGGAGAGAGCTCCTTGAGACCCACCCCGTCCAAACTAGCCTAAGTTGAGTCCTCAGGAAGAATCTAGGAGAACAAGCACTTCCAACTCCTCCTTTCTCCTAGTCTCCCAGAGATCTCCATTGGCCAGGTCCACCTGGAGGCCACGTTGCCAGTAAATCCAAAAATGCCATCCTTAGATTTAGATGTCTGGCAGGAAAGTCAGAAAAGGGATGGAGACTGGACCTGGAAGGGCAAGAAATGCGTGACATGAAACAATTGTGATTTTAAGTAAGGAGTCTTCAGTAGGAAGTTATTCAAGCAAAGCTATGAAGAGGTGTAGTAACTCATCTGGTTTGGCCTGAATGTATCCCCCAAAATTCGTAAGTTGGAAACTTAATCTCTAGTGCAACCATATCGGAAGATGTGGTCTTTTGGCAGGTGTCTAGGTCACAAATCTACTCTCATGGATGGGTTGACACCGTTACTAAACAGCTTGCCAAAGGTAGTTCATTCCGTTTGCCCTTCTGCCATGTGAGAACATAGCATTTCTCTCCTCTGGAGGATGGAAAATTCAAGATACCACCTTAGAAGAAAAGGCCAAACCTGTAGGTACCTTGAACTCGATCCTTCCAGCCTCTTGGATTGTGAGAAATAAATTTTTTTGCCTGGCATTATGCATGCCTGTAATCCCAGTACTCCAGGAAACTGAGACTGAAGGCTTGCAAATGTGAGCCCAACCTGGGCGACTTAGAGATACTTTCTCAAAATAAAAATAATTTAAAAGGGCTGAGGATGTATCTTAGCACGAAGGTCCTGGGTTGAATTCCCAGTGCTAGAAAAACAAAACAAAATGAATGAATTATGTTCCTATGACTTCTCGGGCATTTCCTTATGGCAGTATAAAGTGGACTAAGACAGGAACCATGGCAGAAGAGCGAGTGTGTATAACTTTAACATTTCAAAATATGGAAGCAGCTTTGGAACCGAGTAATGGGTAGAGGCTGGGAGAGTTTCAAAGTGCACGCTGGAAAAGCCCATATTTCCATGTGCAGAGGATTGAGGACAGTGCTGGCGGGGTGTGGAGGAAGAGAAAGGTGGCGGGACACCTCCATCTTCCACAAGATGACTTAAACAGTCATGAAAGCAAAGACCATTCTGATGTGGTCTCAGCAGTGGACGACAATATACGGGAACCTAAAGGGAAGGTCATCCATGCCATCAAGCGGCAAAGAGCGTGTCTGATTTGTGTCTTTGTCCTGGTACTTTATAGAAGCACATAAACTACAGCATTTGGCAGAGAAAGTGTTTAAGCTCCAAAGCTTTCAGAATGCTGCATGATTACAGTGAAATGTGAAAAGACCAAAATGATTTTTTAAAAAGAGAATTATTTGCAATTAAAAGAAAAATATTTCATAAAGACTTGAAAAAATTCTTAGCTTCAATAAAGCATAAAAAAGTACATTTAGAAACAACTGGCCAAGCAACTGTCGGATAAGGATATTAGAGTGGGCAGAGGAAAGCCAAATGTTTTATAAGTGATCTGATATCATTTTTTTTACAGTAGTGACAACAAAATATGTAGTACTTAAATTTTATTGTGTCAACTTGATTGGCTTAGCAGCCACCCAGGGCATTAGTAAAGCACATTCCTGGGTTTGCCTGGGGTGTCACTGAGGTGTGACCTTCAGTACTCCAGATGGTCCCCGACCCTTCTTCCTGGATGCTGTTCCCCTGCTATGCTTCCTGGCTGCCATAACTAAGCATCTTCGCTCTGCGGTGCCCTTCCTCCATGGCTTCTGCCGCAAAGCCTCCTAACCATGGACTGAATCTCCTGAAACTGTGAGTCAAATTAAACCTCCCCCCTTTAAATTGTGGGTGTCAGGTGTTTTATCTCAGAGATAAGAATGCTAATACATCATCTAGCTAATCCTAATAAAAACTCTGTATGACTCATAGATCTCTATTTTACAGTGGGGGACACTGAGGTACAACAAGAATAAGCAATTTAGAAGCGGTCTACTAAGAGTTGGTAGAGTTGGAATTTGAACCCAGGATGTTTAGGCTCAGTGATCTTGCTCTTAAACAAAACAGGATATATGCAAATCATCCAAAAATGAGAGGGTAGAAAAACTGTCAAGATATGAGCCTGTGATTGACAAACAGATGTCATTTATTGAGCACTGGCTGTATACTAGCCACTGTGTTAAATAGTGCGGGAAGGATATAGATAAACAGGGTACTATGTTTGTGCTCAAAAAGATCATTGTCTGTGGGGCTGGGGATTTAGCTCAGCGGCATAAGCGCCTGCCTTGCGAGCGCGTGGTCACTAGTTCGATCCCAGGTACCGATAAAAAAAAAAAATCATCATCTAGTTGGAGAAAAGGGAGGGAATATAGGAATGTGTACAAATCTCAACAGACTGGGACACATTCTATAGTGGTACTATAGACAAGATGTTCCAGAATGCTGAGGCGGGAGGTTCATGCACCTGGCTTTGGAAGAAGTGAAGGATTATGTCAACAGAAATGGGAGAATAACGGATTCCAGAAAGAAACTGTGTGAGCAGGGACATGAGTGCCTTCCAGGCACAGACAGTCATCTGCTTGGTTAGAAGGCGTGAGATCTGTGCTGAGAGACTTTAGGTGGGACACCAGCATCACCACGTCCCACTAGCTCACCATGAGGTGATGATTTCTTTTCCCCTATGGAGAAATCACAGCTTGGTGTCAGCCTGTCTTAAAATTGAATCCTCACTCATTTCAACTTGGGGTGGGGTTGGGAGTACAGTACGGTGGATTGAACACAGGGCCTTTGCACTGAGCTCTTCCAGCTCTCTCTACTTTTTTGAGACAAGGTCTTGTAAATTGCCCAGGCTGGGTTCAAACTTGCAGTCCTTGTGCCTTAGCCTCCCAGAGTACTTGGATTACAGGTCTGAGTCACTATACCAGCTAATTCCACTGTTTTTACTCCAAATTCACAAAACTCTGATCCTTCAGTGAGTAGCCAAGCCCTGCTTGGAACCTAACATGGTTTGGTTTCCATTGTCTTTATTTGTAAAATTGTATCCTATTTAAAGCAATGAATTTTAAAAAATCATTGTTATGTATTACTTCTTACAAATTTAAGAGAGTTGAGTTAAAAGAGTAATTTTCAGTTGCACATTCAGATGGTTCATGAAGTTTAAGGGGTGTGAGGGGAGGAGCAGAGGAGACAAAAGGTTAGAAAGGGGCCTGGGCCCCACAGGGAGGAGGATGGGTTTTATTCTGGTGGACCATGGGCATGGGGCGCATGGAGATGACAAGGATTGTGGGCAAGGTGACTCTTGGCAGGGCTCACTCGGACCTGCAGGAGCGAGTGCCAGCTGGGCAGCGGTGGGGAGACTCTTGGGGACCTGGCAGAGCCAGGGAGAGGTGCCTGGTCAGAATGGGAGGGATGTGCTCCAGAGCCCATCACTATGCCATCTACTTCCCACTGATAGATGGATTTGTTCTCCAGAGATGACAAAATTCAGCCTGTCATCCTCCTGGCTCCTTGGTACCTTGCCCACGTGGCTCACTAGGAACATTCAACAGTCTCTACAGAGACTCACAGGGCTGGGGGGACTATGGCTGGATACAGTTTGTCCCCTATAAAAGATTGTGTGCTGGAGGCTTGGCACCACTGCAGTGGCACTAAGAGACGGTGGGAACTTTAAGAGGTGGCACCTGGTGGGAGGACATTAGGTCACTGGGAAAAACACCCTATAAATGAAGTAATGCCTGTCTCTCAGGGGGGTGAAGTTTCTTGTAATCAGTTACCTTGAGACGGTTGTTATGGAGCAAGTGTGGTTTTTTTTTTTTTTTGTCTTTTTCCTTTTTATCTGTACCAGGGATCGAACTCACGACTGCCTGCTTGCAAGGCAGGCGCTTATGCCGCCAAGCTAAATCCCCAGCCCCAAGTGTGGCTTTCTTGACTGTTACTTCCTGCCTCACCATGCATTCCTCACCATGCATTCTCTCTCTCTTTCTCTCTCTCTCTCTCTCTCTCTCTCTCTCTCTCTCTCTCTCTCACACACACACACACACACACACACACACACACACACAGCTGCCCTCACCCTGTGATACTCTCTGCCATGAAGCCCTCAGGAGAAGCTGTCGCCCACACTATGCTCTTAGATCTCTAGAATTGTGAGCTAACTAAACTTTTTTCTTTATAAAGCTGATAGTCTCATGTACTGTGTTATAGGAGGAACGGTAATAACAACAAACCAGACTAACAGGCCAAGTTAAGATAACATCGGCAGAGGCTGGCCTCTCTCAGTCTCATTAGGCCTGGGAATTGGAAGTACAATCAGAAACGATGGAGAAAATTGAGTTGTGCCTCCCCAGTATGAATTTCTTCCTGGGGAAACGACGGTGTCTGCTTGACGGCCTGTAGCAATTCACTTTATTCCATAGGATGAACATCTGATTTTCCAAGACCTTCAGCTTCATCTCACTGAACAAAAGCCGTTCAAGGATCTTGTCCTGGAGGGCAAAGCAGGCATACATTTTCTCTACTTCTTTCATGTTCTTGACATCGTTGCTCTTGGGGCAAGTTTCCAGTGTCTTTGGCTTCTCTTCCTTCTCCTAAGCGCCCCACCACCAAGAAGAGAGAAAAGTTGGTTAATAAGAAAAACCCTTCCCACACTGAACACCTGCTCCCTGCCATGACCTTAATCACTTTTCACACACATCTGTAAGGGGAGCACCTTCCCATCATTTTGTGGGTAATAGAATTGAGGTCACTTTTCATTATCATATGGACCCTGAACTCCCAAGAATCCACGGTGGCCTTTGGTTCAAAGGAATAACTTGCCCATTGCAGATGATATAAAGCCTTAACCTAAATGATCCCTGTCTGCAGGGTAATTTTTCAGTGTGGCTGTCTGAGCATTTTGTCAGCCCCAGGGGAATTTCTGACTGCAAAGTCTCAGGGTCTCGTGACATGCTCTTCTCTCTCTCATCCTGATGAGTTTTCTCCTGCCCGCTCCCCTTAATTAGTAATACTTTTTTGATTCAGCTACAAACTATTGATCTTTAATATTTTAGCAAATATTACAACACATATTCATATTCCACTATATTCCCTTAAAGAAATAAAATATCACAATATAATTGAAATCCTCCATGGACCCCCTCCGTCTTAAAAGTATTCCTCTCACCCTCCTGAAAATCATCTCTTCAACTATCATTCTGAATTCGATATTTATCTTCCCATAGATTTTTTTTCCATCACAGGGGAAAGAACCCAGGGTCTTTGCATTGAGTTAAATTTCTAGCCCTTTATTAAAATGTTTAAAAACTTCAAGATCTCAGTAAGTTGTCCAGGCTCAGCTTAAACTTGCAACTCTCCTGCCTTGACTTCCCAGAATGTAGGGATTACAGGTGTGTGCCACCATGCTTGGCTTTCATGCATTTTTAATGGGAAGCTGTTTTGTCCTCACTGGGTAATGTGGCAATGTCTGGAGGTATTTTTGATTGCCATAAATGGGGGTGGGGTGATACTGGCATCACCTGGATAGAGACTGGAGCTGCTAAACTTCCAACCATGCACACAGGACAGCCTTCACTGCAAAGAATTATGCTTCTCAGAATGTCGTAGCACTAAGGTCGAGACATCTTGCCTCAAGATACTTTCGTTACACATATGCAACCATGAACAGTACAGGGTATTGCCTTTCTTTCTTTCTTTTTTACTTCTTTTAAGACAAGATCTCACCATGCAGTCCACACTGCCTTTGACTTACTATACAGTATATAGTCCAACTCATGGTGATCCTCCTACCTCAGACTCCTAAGAGCCAGGATCACAGGCATGAGGCACTCCACCCAGTTATGTTTTTAAATCTTATATAAATGCTGCACCTATAGTATGGATGTGAAACATCCCCTAGAGGCCCATGGGTTGTCCCCAGACAGTGGTGCTATTTATTGGAAAGTGGTGGAACTTTTAAGAACTGGGGCCTAATGGGAGGCCTTCAGGTCATAGGGGAGGTTTTTCTTAGGTTGTTTTCACTGTCTGGCCAGGAAGTGAATGGTTTTGCTCAACTGTGCCCACCCACCAGAGGCCTAAAAGCAATGGATTCACCTTACCATAGACTGAAACCTTCAAAACTGTGATCCAAAATAAACTTTCCCTTTTTTCTTTATAAGTAATTTCAGGTATTTGTTACCGTAACAGAAAGTTGACTAACACAGTTTCATAATCTATGTACATTTCTTCTTCCTTATTATAGTTTAGAATTTTGTCTATGTTGGAACATGTATCTAGTTTATCTATTTAAGTATTTTTCCACTTGAAGTGGTGGATATCATTACTGAAGTAGGAAGCATGTTGACATCAATCAGGAAATAGGAGAGTCTAGGATGGTCCCTATTTTATAGCTGAAGCAACGGAAGTCTTGAGGAGGAAAAGGATTCATCTACTATCCACAAGGAAGTCACAGGGTAGAGACATACAGTCTTGCCTTATTATCCTGACACCTTCTCTGTCTCTGCCTCCCACCCCATCTAGTTCCCATAACCCTCAGTGACAGCTAAATCCCCTCTTGCTCACCTGTGGGGGCTTTGAGGGGGTGGCCTTGGATTCATACTTGACCAGCCAGTTGCTAATCAACAGAAGAAGGAATAGGAACACAAACAACAGTGGCTTGTAGTTCATCAGCCAAGTCACCACTTCTCCTACCATGCCTGAGGAAGTGTCAAACAGAGACTCCTAAAAAGAACGACTAATGCCCCCAACATTATGGTGCAGAGGCACATGAGCCCCCAAACCCTGCCTTAGTCCCCTCCATGGCAGGAGTCACAGCCACCAGCTCCCCTGAGTCACAACCAGTTTCCTCCTATACCCAACTGCCACATAACAATAATAGAACTACTCTTATGTCTTAAGCACCCACTATGTGCCAGGCTCTTTGACAGGCAGTTTGCAAGCATCATCTCATGATGATGTCCTCATAAAAGCCAGGTGATGTAGGACTTAGCCACACCTCACTTTTCATTCAACAGTACTTCTGGGTCCAGCCACTGGGTGCAATATGGTCCATGACACAGCACCTACACTCATGTGGGAAAGACTGAAAAGAAAAATGACCCAGAACTTGGAAGTAAAGCAAAAAAGATTCCGAGGTGCACGTTCACGGTCATATTAGAACACTATTTAACTAAACTGCCTACTGGTTACCTGCTGCTTTAGGGAAGGCAGTTTCATTTGACTTACTACTTAATATTGATTAAGTTCCTACTCTGTAAAGTCAGAAGTTGTATGTTAAAAAGTGAACAAGCTGCTATAGCTATTTCACTTCTGGAAATATTATTCAGCCTTAAAAAAAGAAGGTAATCATAATATATTACGATGTGGATGAAACTTGAGGATGTTATTCTGAGTGAAATATGCCAAGAAAAATACAGTGTATGAATCCACTTTTAAGAACTACCCAGAGTAGTCAAATTCACAGAAGCAGAAAATACAAGGCTGGCTGCCAGGGGCTGGAGGGTGGGGAGAATGGGGAGTTATTGTTTAACCAGTACAGAGTTTTGCAAAATGAAGCATTAGAGATTGCATAACAATGTGAATGTGCTTAACACTACTGAATACTACACTTAAAATGGCTAAGATGATAAATCTTTTTTTTTTTTTTTTTTTTTTTTGTCTTTTTCCTTTTTATCGGTACTGGGGATCGAACTTACGACTGCCTGCTTGCAAGGCAGGCGCTTATGCCGCTGAGCTAAATCCCCAGCCCCTGGTACATCTTTAAGACAGTAAATTTTTATGAGTATTTTATCACACACACAAGAAATCCAAGTCGAATTTAGTTATTTCTGGGGAAAAATGGACAAGATGCAAATTAATTTCTTTATTGCCAAAAAATACAAATGACTTTTGTCTAATAGAAAACACTAAACATTACTGTCCTGTGGCCTTGAATATTAACTTTTCTCTTAATTTCTCTTAATTTTGCTCATTTCAGGATTCTGTTTTTCAGTAACTGCCTAGTGACCACAAAGCATTCTCATATTGATTAAGCCAGATCCTGCTGGATCTTTCGATGGTGAGTTAAATCCTTGAAATATGTTTATTATTTTGTATGAGAATTCTTTATTAGCTTTGCTGGGTGGGTCTGATGGTGCCCATCTGTAATCCCAGCTACTCAGGAAGATAAACAAACATTAACCCTTGGCTTCCATTCTCCCTCAGAGACAACCAGTTCTCACTTTTAACTGCTACCTCTATTTGCCTTGATATTGCTAAATAGCATACTGACAGTTTTTCTTGTCTCAATTGTGACATTATGTATTACCTTTTATGATGGAAGAATTAGCTCCTTTGCAATACCTCCTCCTTGCCCATCCTTGCTCTTCAGCCCTCCCTTAAACCTTTTGCCTCTCTCACAAATTTTCTCTCCATTCTCCCAATAAATTCTGTGACTTTGGTTATCCATCCATTATGTTTATTATGGCCATGTGAATATAAGTTCACAGCAAAGACCTATATTGCATTGTGATTTCATTTTCTTTCTTACATAGCTTTTCTTTCCTGAGTCGGCACTTTGTTTAGTTTTTTAAAATTCAGCATCACTTAAACAGTCTACATAAAACAAATATACCATCTATTACACATATAGTTTAATGAGTTTTGGAGAATACTTACAACCTTGTCACCATCACCCCAATCAAGATCTAAAGCATTTCCATCAAACCCCAGTAAATTCCCGCCTGCTCTTTTACTGTCAACCCTCCACTATCACAAGAAACCACTCTTCGGATTTTATCACTAAAGAGAGTCTTAGTAGTTCCTCAATTTCAGGTCAATGGAATAGCATAATTTTTTTGTCAGTACCAGGGATCGAACTCACGACCATACACTTCCAAGGTAGGCACTTATGCCGCTGAGCTAAATCCCCAGCCTTAAAAAATAGCATTTTGGGGCTGGGGATTTAGCTCAGCGGCATAGGCGCCTGCTTGCAAGCAGACAGTCCTGAGTTCGATCCCAGGTACCGAAAAAGACAAAAAAAAAAAAAAAAAAAAAAAAAAAAAAAAAAATAGCATTTTGAAAGACTATGCTTTGAAGAGACAAGGCAAGCTGCGCGCGGGGCGCACACCTGCGATCCCAGCAAGAGAGGTTGAAACAATAGGATTGAGACAGGTCTCAAAACAAAAGATAAAAAATGTTGCAGTAGTACAGCACTCCTGGGTTCGAAAACTAGTACCGCAAAATGAATCAATGAATGCAAGTGTAGATCTGTGTAATGGTTGGAAATCAGTTCGAAGAACACAAGACTTGTCCCAATGTTGGATCAGGAAGAGCTTCGCTGGAAAAAAAAAAATTGAATAAACCACTCTATTATTAGAAATGACCTGGCGTAGCAGAGATGTCCTGCGTGTGCTGATGGGGGGCACCTCGGAGGTGCGACCGAGGGGCGTGAATCGGGAGGGGATCCAGACAGAAGTACACGAAGAGTAATTCCATGTTCAGAATTTCTGAAAAGTTTTCTCCATTCTCTTACCACAGAGACTCATGAGTTCAAGTTTGTTCCAGAGCAAGGACAATCACGAATAAAGAAGACCTGCTAGTCACGCTTCAGCGTTATGCCCCACTAGACTGTAAGCTCCCTAAAAGTAAGAATTTCATAATTCAACCTTTGTCACGTAATAGCTATTAGTAAATACTGCTTGAATTGATAAATGAGAGAATGAATGAATGAAGGACGCAAGCGCCCGAAGGAAACGACCGCCTTCGGAGGTGCAGTCTGGCCCCAGACCCCGGAACCCTCCACCTGCGTAAGGGTCAAGTCGCTCAGCCGCGGAGCCGCTCTAGCCAGCCCTGCGCTCTTGGACACGGAACCGCTCTAGCTCCCAGAATGCCGCTCTATGGCAGCCGGGAGGGGCGGGGCCCGTGGGTGGCACGGAACCTTTTTGTCTGGACGCGGCGGGAGCGCGCACGACGGGAGCGCACTCGGCTGCGATCGGAGGCGCGCTGGTTGCGTGAAGGGAGGCGAATAGTGGAGAGGCTGCTCCGTACTCACGGAGCGACAGACCGAGTGGCTCTTGTGGCCGTGGGCGGCCAGGCGGCCTGAGATGTTGTCCGGGAAGAAGGCAGCAGCAGCGGCGGCGGCGGCGGCGGCCGCGGTGGCGGCCGGGACGGACACCGGACCTGGGGCGGCGGGCGGCGCCGAGAACGGCTCCGAGGTGGCCGCGCCACCTGCGGGCCTGTCGGGCCCCTCCGAGGTCGGGCCCGGAGCGGCCGGGGAGCGTACTCCCCGCAAGAAAGAGCCTCCGCGGGCCTCGCCTCCTGGCGGCCTGGCCGAGCCGCCAGGGTCCGCCGGACCTCAGGCCGGGCCCACTGTGGTGCCCGGGTCTGCGACCCCCATGGAGACGGGAATATCAGAGACTCCGGACGGGCGACGGACCAGCCGGCGCAAGCGGGCCAAGGTGAGACCCGACGCTTCTCTCCTCGGCGCGCCCAGGCCTCTCTTTCCCGAGGGTGCGCGCCCGGGGCACGGTCTAGAGCCCCGCGACCTCCTAGTCTTCCCCCCCTGGACGCCGCGCAGCCTCGAAGCCAGCCGGTGTAGCGTGCAGGCTAGGGCGGGAGGAGCGAGGGTCGAAGGCGGCCTTTGTGTTGGGGCCCGCGGACGTGCCGGCGTCGGGAGGGTGTTTACCGTGAAGTCTCGTGCACCTTTTCGTCTTCTGGAAAAATGGCTTCCCGATATGGAGTCGCGGTTGGCGTTGTTGGAGATACCGCTTGTTTGCCCGTCGATGTGTGTAGAACCAGTGGCTTCCTGGCTGGTGCACAGGGGATTTGGAGGACGATGCTAAGGCAGCTGCCTTAGCCAAGAGACGAAAAAAGAAACTTTTTTTTTTTTTTGGTATCGGGGATCGAACTCACGACCTCACGATTGCCAGGCTGGCGCTTCCACTAAGCGCTTGTAGTTTTGAGCTTTTTGTTTTACTTTCTCAATGATCTTTTGCTGTGGGCTTTTGTGGATATGGAAGCCGATGAGGAGGGCTCATTAAGGTGCACATATATAGGAAGAAAGATTTTGTACCAAATAGTACAATTAACTGCTTTCTATCTCTTTGTGTCACCTGGTGTGTCCCATGAGTCACCAACGTTTTACATTTGCTAGACACTAACAGGCAGGTGTTGTTAGTCCTAACCCTTTTAGGAATGAGAAAACCGAATCAGCCAGTTGTGCTGGCATTTAGGGCCCACATTCTATTGTGACAGGCCATCCTTGGCTTCTTACAAAGGACCGCGTGAGACAGTGTCTGTTCAGGGCACTGGGGCAGTATTAGGCCACAGACTTGCGCTTTTTCTGGAAATCTGATGTTCTAGTTGAAAAAAAGAAATATATGTGGGTATAATAAATACATAAAGACGAGTGGGGTGTATTTCAGTGGTAGATTGCTTGCCTAGCATATGTGAGGCAGTGGATTGGATCCCCAGTACTGTTATACAGATAGATGTGTAACATTAAAATTGTGCAGCCTATGTACTTTATTTTTATTTTATTATTATTATTTTTGTACTGGGACTCGAACTCACGATCTCTTGTTTGCCAGGCTAGCACTTACGCTGCTGAGCTAAATTCCCAGTCCCCTATGTGCTTTATACTTACATAAAAATAACCTTATTGTTTTGACTTTTTTCCTTTGGAAACTGGGTCTCACTGTGTTCCCCAGGCCAGTGATTTTTTTTCCTCAGCCTCACTAGCAGGTGGGACTGATACAGGAAAAAAAAAAAAAACTCTAAACCTGCTAGATAACCAGTACGAGGAGTTGAGGAGTTCGTGTTATCTAAAATAGTCGAGTGATGAGTGAATTTTAGAAACAACGGGGTTAAGAGCAGAGTATATTTATGGGTGGGGGAGAAAGCTGTCAGAGAGGGACAGAAGGGGTCCCAAGTGAATTGCCAAAGACCCTGATTTTTCTAGGGATTTTATACAGCAAAACCACGATATGAGGTGGGTACAACTTGGGAAAAATGAGAAATTGCAAGGTGGGCATGAGGTGGGACAAAACTGTAGTCAGCCAATAAGATTATGAATATAATTGCTCGGTTATAATCAGGAGCAAATGGGGAAGCAAGTCATGCAAGCAAGCAAGCATGAATACAGAATAATGAGCTTTTCCCCTAGGGGGCTGGGTTAATGGCTCTTCCGGGGCTTCCTCAAGGTGATTGGTATATATTTAGAATACCAATCCCTGATGTTTATCCTTAGAAAGTATGTGGATGTGTTTTTGTCTTGAGGTCTGGCCCACAGCAGAGGTGTCTGTCTCTACAGTAGCAAGATACCTGGTCTTTTGTACTGGCCTCTTCAAGGGCCTAGCCCTATTTGCCTGTAATATTTTTAATCTTAGTTGGCTATAACAGGACTACAGGTATGCACCTAATTACTATGAAACTGTTCTCAGTTTTATCTGCCTGCTTGGGAAACCTTTCTGAAGAGTACCCAGTGCCGAGTAAAAGGAGTTTGTTTGTTTGTTTGTTTGTTTATTGGTGCCAGGAATTGAAGGAAGGAATTTAGAGGAAAGGCCTGGGTTAGAAAAGCATGGAGGTTGGTGATCTCAATTCTCAGAAATGAAGTAGAGGGCAGAAGGAAGCCCAACTGGATTGTATTTTTACTGCTTCACTAGAAAGTGTGGCCAGAAATCACGTGCGTTTTTGTTGTTGTTTGAGATGATCTTGCTATGCAACCTTGGCCTGTAACTCCTGGTGATCCTTCTCCCTTGGCCACCTCGGTGCTGGGATTACAGGCATGTGTCACCACACCAGCCTCATATATAGTATCTTTAAAACAGGAGATTGTAGCAGGGTGTGATGGTGCATGCCTATAACCCCAGCTGTTGGGAGGATCCTTTGGAGTTCAAGACCAGCCTGATCTACAGGAGATTGTAGCAGAGTGTGATGGTGCGTGCCTATAATCCCAGCTCTTGGGAGGATCCTTTGGAGTTGAAGACCAGCCTGATCTACAGGAGATTGTAGCAGGGTGTGATGGTGCATGCCTATAATCCCAGCTCTTGGGAGGATCCTTTGGAGTTCAAGACCAGCCTGGTCTACAGGAGATTGTAGCAGAGTGTGATGGTGCATGCCTATAATCCCAGCTCTTGGGAGGATCCTTTGGAGTTCAAGACCAGCCTGGTCTACAAATGAGTGCCAGGCCAACCTGAACTACAAATTGAGACCCTGTCTCAACAAGACAAAAACAAACAAATAAAAAACCCAGAGGCGATTGTGATAATTTACAGTTCACTATTTTAAAGTGCACAGTTGAGCGGTTTTTATCATATTCATAAAGTTGTGCAGTCTGCACTGTAATCAATTTTTAGAACAATGCCCCTGAGACAAAACCTGTATGTATCTTAACAGTCTCTTCAGTCCTCTGTGGCTCTGACCTCTGGCAGCTGCAAGTCTGATCATGGATTTGTGTGTTTTGGATATTTTACATGGAATCAGACACTGTGTGGCCTTTGTATTTGGTTTTAGCATGTTTCCATGGTTCATCCATATTCTTCCACTCAGTACTTAATACTATGGCTGAATTCCACTGTGGATATACCACCTTTTGTTTGATGGACATTTGGGTTTACACTTTTTGGCTGTTACACATAATATGGCCACATAAGTGCACACCTTTGTGTGAACATAATTATCATCTTTTTTATACGTAAGGTGTACAGCATCATGCTTTGAGGTATTATATGGTTACTACAGTCAGGTTAATTAACATATTATCACTTCACATACTAATAACAATTCTTAGTGTACTTAAAAACATTTTATATTAAAACAAATAAAAAAAGAAATGTGCTTAGCATCTCACAGCGACAGATTAAAATAGTTCAGTGAGCAGCATTGTAAATGATTTGATCTCTATACATTAATGCACTTTTTA